ATCACATAAAGGGTCTGATCTACAGCATTTCACAGTGCTTCCTGTGTTCATGAAAATAAAGACTAGTGGTGGCAAGCATTTGTGTTCAGCCAGAGTGTTCCTAAAGCAAAAAGCAGAATGCCAACAAACACCTCACCTTGCTCAAGAAGAAGCCACATGTGGCTCACATATGGGACTAGACATGATTCCTTTATTAGCAGAGAATTTCTCTCAGGTCCACCCTCATGGAGGAAGATGTGTCCTGATGTCACACTCTCCATGCGTGGTTTATAATGCACTGCTAATTCATTTTTGAATTCAATCGGATTTACTGAGTGGCTGCAGCCCACCTGTACTGTCAATGAATTTTACTAGTTGGTTATTTTCAAAAAATGCTTTTGTCATGTTCACAAATCCTGACTTAAAGACCCAGCTGTATAGCCTGTCATCTAAATATGTCTAATGGTGACTAAAAGTCAAGGTGAGAGCCCTAAAGTAAGAAAAACTCAGTAATTTGATTTCCTTGTTTTTTTCTTTCTTTTTACCCCTTCCTCTGCACCTCTTCTCAACTTTTCTGTATTTCTTTCTCTCTCTCTCTTTTTTTTTAAATTTTTTTAAATGAGTGTTGCTCAGGCTTTCAAAACATTTCCTACTATATTTCCCAAGGCCTTGGAAATACAATGATATGAACATTAAAACAAAGAGGAAGTATTCACTTCTGAGTGGAGACTTTAAAATCCTGTTTATCCCTTTACGGTTTAGGTTTCCCTAAATCTAGAGACAACATCTCCAGTATGAGTGTGATATAAACATTTTGTGTAAGTACAGAGGAAGTTAGAGAAGTATACATATAAAATGACCTTCTAATACAAATCAGCCATCCTTATGATAATCTGGCAAAAAAGAAAACGAATGTCTTGCTTCCGCAAGAAGAGGCAACATAACTGAACTTACTGCAAACCATGAAGGGACACTGATTTTTACAGAGTAGCTGCCAAGTACTTAGAACAACATGTGCTTCTTAGAAGCTAATTATTCCCTTTTTCACTCTTTTGATTCCAGACTACTAGAATACAATAGGGAAATCACATTAACTTTTTCCTTCAGAGCACCCTTCTGAGAGTAACGTGGAAAAATTAGGCAGATTGTATTGGAAATTCTTATGCTCCAGAGATGACGGTAGATGCAGAATCTCCGTACTGATATGTCAGTCTTTAAGGGTGTATCTAGCAATGGATGAGAGAAATGAATACAGCAAAATACAGAAAAAAATACAGCTAGGTCAAAGCTTTGAGGCTGACAAGCAATTGAAGTTATAGGTAAGTCTTACTATAGAATGGATTTGTTTTCACGCCATGCATTTAAAAAAATTTCAGTACATGTGCTGCCTATTAATGAATCAATCTCTTAAACTTTATAAAAAAGTTTCCCACTTTTGTTTTCTGAATGAGGTCCACTAAATTCATCACTTCATATTGATCCCAACTTCACCTAAAAAATATGTGAAAATTCTAAAGATATATTTTTATTCCTCAGTGCTATCTGCGATTTTCTTGACAATGATATAGTCCCACATTGCCAGACTTTTACTTTGATTTGGTAAAATCAATGATGACAGAGGGCTGACAATATTCTCCTTTTTGTAAAGAAGAGGTAATGCCACTTCAAGGAGCACAGTCGGAAAATAGAGATTCAAAATAACCAGACTTCTTAAAAATTATTTTTTTAAGATAGGGTCTTGCTCTTTAGCCTAGGTTACAGTGCAGTGGTGCAATCATGGCTCACTGCAGCCTCAATGTCCCAGGCTCAGTGACCCTCCCATCTCAGCCACCTGAGTAGCTGGTAATACACGCACGTGCCATCATACCCTGCATTATTTATTTATTGTTATTATTGTTGTTGTTTGCAGAGATGGAGTCTCACTATAGTGCCTGGTCTCAAACTCCTGGACTCAAGCAATCCTTTCTGTCAAGTTGCCGGCTTGGCCCTCTTCCAAGCTGAACTTTCCTTCTTTTCTTCCTTTCCTTACTATTCTAAAGCTTTTTAATAAATGTTCACTTCTGCTCTGAAACTTGCCTGAATCTCTCTTTTTGCCTTATGCTCCTCAGCAGAATTCTTTCTTCTGAGAAGGCAAGAATTGAAGTTGCCACAGACCTGTATGGATTTGCTGCCGGTAACTTGGGTAACTTTGGTATCTGCCACGACTAACATATTTGGTGCACCTGACTCAGATACCTTCCTAGCGAGAAACAGACAATTCTCATTGGGGAAAGATTGAGCTCCAGACAATCCTCGGTGAGGAAAATCATCCTCTTAATATTCGAGTCACCCTTCTAGAGGGGACATCTGCACTGCCCATCAGTGAGACAAGACAGTGGTGAAATCCTGCCCCTGTCTCCCATGGACCTGCTTGGATACCATTTTCATCAACTCATGCAGCCAACTCAGCCCTGACAGCTAGCAAGGAGCCCAGATCCGCAGAACCACGACCACCCCTCTGTCAGCAGGAAGCAGTTACAGAAAACTGACCTGCATCCATTTACCCCCAAAGATTTGGGGTCCTGGTGTCTTAAGGTGGGCAATGTTACAGCAGGTAGCTAATCATGTATGAGCAGGGCAGGAGAGAGAAACCCCCCTCCCAACACAAACCAGGAGTGCTGGGCAACAATCAGCTAATGGTCAGGAGGTTGTTAACTGTTTTTCTAAAGCAATAATTAGTCACAGCCAGCCCCAGGAAAAGGCAGGTGCCTAATAGATAGAAAACACCTAAAACTGATCAGCAGTTTCCCAGCAGGATTTCAGGTGTAGGGAGACATAATGCAAGATCCCGGAAGTATGCCAGTGTATAAAACCGAAGTCAAGAGGTCAAGCTGCGTGCTTGGTTTCTCAAGTTGCCTGCCTTGCTGTCTTTCAAGGTAAATTTTCCTTCTTTTCTTTCTCTCCTTTTCTTTGTTGCTCTAAAGCTTTTTAACAAACTCTCACTTCTGCTCTGGGGAAAAAATTCGAACTCTCAAAGTGCTGGGATTACAGGCAGGAGTCACCATGCTTGGTGGATAACTAGACTTTTCAGCATAGTTTTGTGGAAAAGGTACATGTGTATGGAAGGGTGCTGAGGGTCTGCTATTATTTTTATTTCTTCCTTATTTTCAGTTTTATTCTGCCCTGATTCCATTAGGGACTAGCATCAAAGGAAAAAAAAACTATCAAGGTTCCTTGCTCTATGCTTGTTTTGACTATCACAACAGAACTTCTGAAAGAGGCATGAAACAAACGACCGTTATCAAAGCATGACTAGCAACTTTATATCTTTATCTTTCTATTTATCTACGTCTATATTACCTCTGTCTACTATCAATCATCTATCCCCTTATCTGGATACTTAAATTTTTATATCTGTGTATTTAACAGTGAGGGGTATATAGGGAGGTAGAATGTATTGCTCTAAGAAACACTCGGTACGAAAAGTAAACCCACAGTGTAGTGAAATGTAATTTCCATTGAATGTATTTTATAAATATTTGACTTAAGTAACTACCCTAGTCAATGCTGATTTTTATTCTTTAAAAACTACAGTCACTACCTAACAGAAACATGAAATACTGAGATCACTTAAGTAAACCGTAATTGACAAGGGATGTCAAGCCCTTAGCTGGAAATCAGTATTAGTGAGATAAATGAGAGTATTTCAACCAGTTATTACATCTATACTACAAATCAACATCTTCCTTCAGGAAGTCTCTGGCAATGTTTTAGAACATTCCAGTGCATTCTAATTTTTTTATTGGCTATACGAGAAAGCTTTCTGAAGTTGTGTATCAGCCTGTCTTTTCTCTGTCTTCATAAAAAGTTTCCTTCATACTACCATGAAAACAATAGTTCTTATTTTCTGGAATTATAGATCAAACCCTTGACAAACCTAAAGTTGTCCTTATATTACTTCTGACCCACTCCTACGTTTTTTGGATTTAATATCATTCATATCTCACTTTTTTGCTTACAAATTTGATCTTTCCATTTAAATATTTTATAGTTCCAGTTTTTAAGAGAATATCAATACCTACATAGGTTTAGATAAAAATAACCTCACATTACAAGCATATTTCCTAACTTTTAATCGCAGGAATGGGTGAGATTAATTTTGCATAATCGTGATGCAGGCAATTTGAGTGCATGGTTGCTGGCATTTGAAGAGGGACGTAAAAGCCCGAGACACACGTCTTTTCTTTCCAGTTCTCGAAATTGCCAATCCAGTCCCCACCCCTTGCTTTTCTCAACCCTCTAATCCTTCTATTAAATATTTTCTCATACAAACAAATAATGAAGATAACCCTTAAATACAGGCGGTCAATACTGTTCTGAACAGGAAGACAACTGCTGAAGCTGGGTTGTCTGCTGCTGTTAGTCAAAAATCTGTTATTAATTTGATTCATCTGCTAAGCTATTCCTATGCTAGTTAATTGACCATTTGTTAGAAAAGTACAAAGGCAAAGTATCTACACGTGGCCCCTTCTACCCTGCACCCTCTTCAAATGGTTTCGATATTAGGGCTTTGGCTAAACGTTAAGACTTTCATGGGCAGGTTTATGTACCAGTTTACGGCAGAGCCTTAAGGCCTGAAGTCAGCCTTCCGAACTGATATTTAATCCTTTCAAAGAAAAAAAGATGCGAAAAAAATAAAACCTTCATAAAACCCAGCGTGAAGCAGACCTCAACATTAGCTTTTAGCTTCTGATAATGTGCTTGGTATAATGTTTTAGTCAAGTTCTTGTGCCAAATTGGGTCCTTCACCCTCACAGTGATTTTTGGATTTTTTTTTTTTTTTTTTTTTTTTTTGCCACGAGCATATGAAATGATAGCTTTTAAAAAGCCACTGTAAATTTCAGCTCCCACTGTGGCCAATGACAGCTGAAAAGTGGGAATGGAGGAAAAGCAAGCAATGCAAATACAAAGCAATTTGCATGACTCAGTCCACCTGGAGAAAGCTAATGGAGGCGCTCCTTTCTTACTTTAAAGTGACTTGCCTTGCAAACTGTAGATTTCACCGACGCTGTTCTGACGGGTGATGTGATGCCAGTACGCACTGCGAGGAAGAGAGATTGATTTGGATAATGTCATTGGTTCAGTCAAACTTGTCTGAAGCTAAAAGAGAAAAGAAAATGTGTTTTAGGCCTTAAGATATTAAACTGAAATCTGCTTTTTTAAATGTTCAGGGTTAAATGTGAGTGACAGACAGTAAGATCTGTTAGAGATACTTGCATGATCCCCTGTTAAAGGGTAACTTTTTAAAAAGTAAAATCATTACTCAAAAATAGGAAAGGAATACTTGTAAACAACTTAATGTAACTCGTTAATTAAGAGGGGAACAGTAAGATGAAAGGAATGATTCCAGTGAACATAGCAGTGGGGAATGCTGGCAAATATTCAGGGCATGATCAATTGTACTCTACTGGACACATTATTTACATTTCTATGGACAAGAATTATATGCATGACTTTCAGCTTTCTACAATTTAGAGTTGTAAAATAACTCAAAAAATGAAGGTACCAGCCCCTTCAGAAGCAGAGACCCATGAAAAATTTACAGAATACCCGTTATTTATTGTTTTGACTCATTTCAATCGCTAAAATTTTTGTCTTACACTTCTCCTATCCTTATACAGTGGCTGTTTTCTCAAACAGGCATTTTCCCTTGCTCCTGTGATAGAATCTTGTACATATTAAAAAGCGTATTCTCTGAGAAACGCTGTGATAAAATTATGGCATGTTTGTTTATTCAAAACATACATTTTAAGGACAGCCGAGAAGTGATATCACATCCCTTGCTCAGGCACGTGATTAGTTCAAAGAAAATAGTAGTTTACATTACATTTTCAAGAAACAGCTTTATTAACATACAACAAGTTTCAAGAAAAACGTAGAAATAGCTTATTTAGTCTTGGCACACAGTGTCTCTGATCCAGGCATGCGCCACCATGCCCAGCTAAATTTTTGTATTTTTAGTAGAGACGGTTTCACTATGTTGACCAGGATGGTCTCGATCTCTTGACCTCATGATCCACCTGCCTCGGCCTCCCAAAGTGCTGGGATTACAGGCTTGAGCCACCGCGCCCGGCCTGAGCAAATAGTTTTTGACAGACGATGAGCAATCTTCTAATTAATAAAGTCTCACATTTTCTCTTTATTTAATGCCTGATTCCTGCCAAAGCTGGGCATTGCAAAGATCATCTCTGTCAAATCTAGGCTTTGCATGCCTTTCCGCTCACTGTGGTACGTACCTCCCACTGTATACCTGCACACTCCTAGCCTGGCACTTGATGCTTGGATGGGTCACATACTCTGCATCCAGCATTGGATTTGACTCTTACCACCCTTCATAGAAGATGCCATCAGGAAAGTACCTTATACGACACAACACGTCTTTCAAGGCCACATAAAACTAAGAGGTTCTTACATTTTAATAGCAAGTATAATTAAAGAGCTTGAACATATTTATTTCATTTTACTTTATTAGTAGTAAGGCATTTCTGGAGCTGCTATGTCTTGTCACAAAAGTGTCTTAACTCGGTCTATTTTAAAAGACTGGCATTGTTGAGGTATCTTTCTTTTTTTAAAGATGGCTCCAGATGGTAACTTTGCAGCCATTCTTTGTTTTTCAAAATTTGGTATACTTCAAAGTTTTCCTCCTTACTACAAAAACTACAACCATATCCTGTGGTTGGTGTTTACAGGGGTGGGGTTCTAAGGAGACAAATTTCTGGATTATTGTAGAGCAGTGTTTTCAGAATCTTTGGGCTGTTTGGTAACAACAATAACAGCAGGAGACAGCCAAATGCCTAAGCACATAAGAAAGGGTCCCTGGAGAGCCTCCAACCTGCCCAGGTCATTTTGCATAGGGGACTTGACTAAATATGCCCAGGGTAAAAAATTCTGTCCCTTAACACATGCATAGTAAGGGATATCAATGTAGGGTGGCTCAGACTAACAGCCCACATGGGCACTGAAAAAAATGGGGTGGAGCCACCTGGGATTCACACCTTATGCAGGGAAGGAGCCTGGCCCCTTCACCTCCTGTGTGGTGGCCTGGTGTTCAATCTGTGAAGTGGGAGTTGGATGGTGGGACCCCTCTCTTGGCTGAGAGCTCCCCTTTTGCTTAATACTTTCCATTTTCCTCATCCTTCAATGTGTTGCGTGCCTAATTTTTCCTGGTTGTGAGACAAAAACCTGGATTTAGCTGAACTAAGGAGCAAAAAATCCTGCATCAACAATGGACGTTTCCAGTTTTACACCAGACCTAACAGTGGGGGACTCTGTGAGGACGGCTTTGCACATTAAAAACATGCATAACATCCTCATATGAATGGAAGTCCATCATCCACTACTGTAAAGGACTAGAGGCAAGGCTCACTTTGTGAAAGCATTATTGGGAGAAAGATACGACTTTTGTCTTTAAAGCCAATTTCCCATATGAGGCACAAACTTAAACACATAAATCTTCAATTCCTGTCAGCAGTGTCCATTAATAACAATCCATAAATTTAATATTAATCATGGTTCTGTCTACTTATTTTCTCTAATATAATTTATTACTTAGCATATAATAGATCATTGGTGGTAAATTACTCTTTCCAAAATGTGATGAAAGTGCTTTTTCTTTTTTATTCTGGGAAACTTTTTTCTTCCCAAATGGTCAGTCTTAAGTATCAAGGACATACAGTAAGCATGTTTTGTTTGCTGGAAACATAAATGGAAGCCAATGGATAATAATTCTTACACATGATTTCCTTCTGAATCTCCCTATATTTTACACCTCATGTTTCTCCAGTTTTCCCTCTTTATTGTTTTCATGTTCTAGGATGCTTTTAATGATACTCTATTTCTTTATTTGTTCCTGAGGTTTCTCTTCATTCTACTTCCTTAATTGCTAAAACTGGAAAATTTGTATTTAAAAGCTTGATTGTGGAATTTCTTGGGATCTTAACCAGGGATACAAATCTTGTCCCTAATATCTCAAATGTCTTAAATGTTCCCCTGGATTTTAGAAGAGTCCATTCCCCACATGCACCTATGTATTGAGTACTGCTGTAGACTGAACTGTGTTCTCCCACAAATTCATATGTTGAAGCACTATCCCCCAAATGGCTATATTTGGAGACATTGCTTTTAAAGAGGTTACTGAAGGTTAAAGGAGGACATAAGGGTGGGACCGTAATCAAATAGAACTTGTGCCCTTAGATAAAGAGAAAGGGACACAGGGATAAATATTCAGAAAAAAAAAAGCCATTAAGGACACAGCAAGGAGACATTTAAGGACACATCTAAAAGCCAAGAAGAGAGGCCTTGGGAGAAACCAACCCGGCAGGGATCTTGATTTTTGCACTTTCAGCCTCCAGAATTGTGAGAAAATAAATTTCTGTTTAACCTGTTTGTGGTATTTTGCTATAGCAGGCTGACAAACTAAGTACTGTGTCATGGGCAATCTAAGAGTTGTAGAAACTGTTTAACTGGCAATTTTTAATGTTATGAACTTTAAGCAATGTATTAGAAATTGGCCTGTTTGTACTCAATGGCTAAGACAGTATTTCCAGCACTTTTATTAGATAATTTTGTTGAATCTAATTTTATACTCTCGATAAAACCTTTTTTTTTTTTTTTTTTTTTGAGATAGGGTCTCTGTCACCCAGGCTGGGGTACAGTGGTGCAATCTCTGCTCACTGCAACCTCAGCCTCCCGGGCTCAAGGGATTCTGCCACCTTAGCTTCCTGAGTAGCCTGGATTACAGGTGTAAAACTACTTTTGATGACAGGCTTCAACAAGAGGACACACATCCTTAACTATTGAATGAAAACTCATCCTTAACTATTTTCATATTATGCTTCCATTAAAAGCTTTAAGAAAAAAAACAAAACTTAAAATGCTATAGTAATTTCTTTCTTTTTTTTTATTGCATTTTAGGTTTTGGGGTACATGTGATGAACATGCAAGATTGTTGCATAGGTACACACATGGCAGTGTGGTTTGCTGCCTTCCGTCCCCTCACCTGTATCTGTCATTTCTCCCCATGCTATCTCTTCCCACCTCCCCACCTCCCCACCCCTCCCCCATTTCCCCCAACGGACCCCAGTGTGTAGTGCTCCCCTCCCTGTGTCCATGTGTTCTCATTGTTCAACACCCGCCTATGAGCGAGAATATACGGTGTTTGATTTTCTACTCTTGTGTCAGTTTGCTGAGAATGATGGTTTCCAGGTTCATCCATGTCCCTACAAAGGACGTGAACTCATCGTTTTTGATGGCTGCATAATATTCCATGGTGTATATGTACCACATTTTCCCTATCCAGTCTATCATCATTGGGCATTTGGGTTGGTTCCAGGTCTTCGCTATTGTAAACAGTGCTGCAATGAACATTCGTAGTAATTTCTTAATTGAAAGAGCAGTGCATCAATTTGACCAGGATCATAAAAGTATGTCTATCAAAAAAGGCAATTTCTATTTATATTGCAAGTAAATACATAAAAATTATATGGTGAGGTTATTTCTAAACAATGTATTTTAAGAAATTAAGATGCATACATGTGTTCAAAGTTCTTTTGTTCCTTCTCTGCAAAGGTCTGCTGCATTGATTCTTTCAGTGCACTCAGGAAAAAAAAAAGATTCCTGAAACAGCTATACAAAATTCTGCAACCTTTGTGCCAGAACTCCCTTGGTATTTATAAGACTATTTCCTGAAGGCAATGCTCGTCTGCTTCTCCTTTTTGCATAGTGTCAGGATTTAGAAAGGATGCTTCGGCATACATGCAGAAATTAGCTAGATTAGGAGGCATTGATTCAATACTTGATAAACTTGCCATCACTCCCTGCCATTTGGGGGCTTTAACTCTCTATTCCTTCTCTTCTATTGAAACAGCAGTCAGTTTTCTAGGATATGAGCCATGAATTTTGGGTCACTTAATTAGTATCTGGAAAGAGTACAGATCACAGCTCAACTAAGCCTGGAGGGTAGTTAAAACATTTGTGTTTTATTTGACGGGGCAACCGACACATCTCATCACAAAGTCAACAGTCTAAGAAAATAATTCAGCCCCAAAGTGTGCTGTATGGAGACTGCATTGATACGTTTGACTATGACACAGATGAGAGTT